AACTAGAGGTCCCAGCTCTGACGTCAGGAGTGTCAGGTTGAGAGGCGCGCCGCCATTCCTGCGAGGAATAAAAGGCCAGTCGGTGCACAGCAATGTTCAATTTTCAATCACGAATTAATTAAACTCTACTATGTCTTTTGATGTTGATTTCTTTTTCATGAGATTTGTCTATCGCTAAAATGTACTCAAAGGGATTTTTGTGATTGTTTACCTTTAAATGAGCCAGATAATCTTCAAATAATGCAAACAGGGTCTTTACACGGTTAGACCTTATGGGTTCGTAAAACTAAGACAAAATAAATGAGATGGACTTTATGATCCCTTGTTAAAACAAAAAACATAATTATATTGAAATCTTTTGCTGTGCAGTCACTCAAACAGTATGTCTAGATTTAGCACTGCTGACCACAACAAATTAAGGCGCTCGTATATCGGCCCTTGGAATCAGGAATGTGACTGAGAAGCTGCTAGAACCTTCTGCAGCAATTCTAGCACACCTTCAAGGCTGGTTGAACGGAGAAGAACCTCTGTCGTTGGCGTTGAGATGAGACATATATATATATAAAGTAGCCAACCAGCGTAACTACCCACTAATAATTAAGATCAGCACTTAATATTTTGTCTCATTTGTGGAACCGATGCCAAACAGCATTTGCAACAGCAGCAGCATGGGTTCGTGGAAGATGGAGTGTTGTGTAGCCAAACACCATTTCCAGCCAACGCCAATTTTAGAAAATACTGTGAACATTTAAGATAAACCGGCTATTTCTTTAAGTGTTACATTTTAAAATGTTGTCAGTATATCATTATTATTGTGCCCAATATTAAACAACGCAATTTGGGTGTGCCAGTCTCTCGAAGTCCAACCCCTCGTCCACGCCGTGGGAGATGGAAACAGGACAAAGTAGAGGATAGCTGGGTCTGGGTGAAGTACGGTGTGACTTTATGTCACTGAGGCGTTACGCTAGCCGTGAAGGCCGACCCCGGTCACCCCGAAACGTTGCTGGCCAACGGGGCTTTGGTGAAACTGCGACTGGCTTAGCAGGCCGGCAGTGGATATTAATACTGCTCAAGAAAATATAAGGAGACACAAACGGACTGATCGAAACGGAAAACGACCTGGCGAGGAAAACGGACAACGATCAAGAAAAAAGGAAAAAATTGGGACCTGGAACTTTTGCAGCTTGACAAATAAAGAACCTGAGATAGTGGAGTTCATGACCCAGAACAAGATCTCCATCAAGGGAATTACAGACATCAGAAAAAAAGGGATGGGTACAAAAGAGATCCACTCTAACTTTGTCCTCATTTGGAGTGGGGTAAGAAAAGAACAAAGAATTGAACACGGGTTTCATCATACACCCTGACCAAGCAAATGAAATATTGAATACAGACTTTATTTCTGAAAGACTCATCAAAATCAGCATTAGAGTGGGCAAAAAGACCACAAACTACATTCAGGTGTATGCACCGTGTAACGACTCCTACTCTGATGAAGAAAAGGACTCCTTCTTCGAACAACTCTCGAACTTAATTAGCAGCATCCCAGACGAGGAAGGCCTTTATGTAATGGGAGACTTCAACGGAAGAGTCGGAGAGAGAACACCGTAGACAAAACACCTGGGTCCACACAGTGACCACAGAACACCATGCAATTATAACGGCAACCATGTATCGGAACTGTGTGCGGAGCACGACTTATTCATCACCAACACCTTCTTCCAGCATAGAGCCTCTCAGATCTACACCTAGTACAGATGGAACAACATCAGGGTCTCATCACAGATCGACGTCATATTAGCGAGATCACGAATGCGGATCACAGTCACAGACTCAAGAGCCATCCCCAATTAAGGCCTGGACACAGACCACAGGCCAATCATCACAACGTTGACCAACAAGAAAGAAAGAAAAGAAAACAAAAACAAACATAAAAGATAGCGAGAGAGACTACTAAATATGCACAAACTTGGAGATGATCAGGTGCAGGCTCAGATTAGAAGCACGCCAAATGAAAAGCTAGGTTCTACCAACTCTACAATACTAACCGTCGAGGAAGCTTGGGATACCTTCAAAACAACTCTCATGGACACAATGAAAGAAGTTTGTGGTGCCAAGAAAACAAGATGAAAACACAAAAAAGCAACAGCCTGGTGGAACGAAAAAGTTAAGGATGCTATCAAGGAAAAAAGAGACTGCATAATGTATGGGTCAAGTCAAAAAACGAAGAGGACTACATTAAATATAGACTTGCAAAAGCACAGCAAGAAAGTCGTTACAACATCAAAAGAAAAGACATGGACCCAGTATGGCAAAAAACTAAGTGAAACCTGCAAGACCTCACCAAGAGAGTTTTACGAGAAGGTGAAGACAATGAGAGTGAGAGACGAACCCTATGTACCCACCACGAGACTATCATCAATGATACTAATGGAGAAGCTCTACACGAAGGGAAAGAAATAATAAAGAGATGGGAAGAATATTTTCAAGAACTACTAAACCCATCAGGAATACGCACAAAACACACAGTGCCCCTTCACCGCCAACTACCCAGAGCACTCAGAACCTACCATCCTGGAGAGTGAAGTGAGAGAAGCACTGAAGACTAGTCCAAAGAACAAGGCATCTGGAGACGATGGCATCACAACCGAAGCCATCCTTGCATGCGGTGAAACCGGAATACATTGGCTTACAATCATCTTCCAGAAAGCATGGAAAGAAAGAAAAGTACCAGCAGACTGGCAAAATGCGATAGTGGTGCCAATATGGAAGAAAAAGGGCAGCAAGAAAGACTGCAACACCTATAGAGGCATATCTCTTCTCAGCCATGCGGGGAAAATGTATGCAAAGATCCTAGAGCCACGCACTCGCGCAAAAACCGAACATCTTCTCAGTTACGCCCAGTTTGGTTTTAGAAAAGGAAGAGGGTGCACTGTTTCAATCTTCGCACTCCGACAACTGTGTGAGAGGGATTTGGAATACCACAAAGATCTCCATCTCGTATTCGTGGATCAAGAAAAAGTCTTTGATCGAGTAAATAGAAACAAGCTATGGAAGATCTTAGAGCAGTACGACATCAAGGGACAACTGCTAGACAACATCAGGGCTATCTATGCCAACAGCAGAAGCGCAGTCCGCACTATCAGTGGAACATCGGACTGGTTTCCAGTAACATCCGGAGTCAGACAGGGCTGCAATATCTCCCCTCTGCTCTTCGTGATCAACAAAGACCAGATTACACAGGAGGCCAATCCAGACCCAGAGGCACTCAACGAACTCATATTTGCAGACGACCTGGCAATGATTAACAACAAGACTCAGCTACAGGAGCATATGAACCAACTAAATGCGAGCTGTGAGAAATATGACATGAAGATCAGTTTTAGTAAGACCGAAGTCATGACAATTAGCAGGAGACCAGACAAAGTGGATATCAACATCAATGGATCCAAACTAAAACAAAGCAGATAATTCAAATACTTGGGCAGCATTTTCACAGAAAATGGAAAATTAGATCGATAAATAGAGACTAGATGCCAGAGAGCCAACACAGTCAACTATCAACTCGACCCTCTCCTGAAACCTCCCAATATCCCCATGAGCACCAAGGCGAAGCTCATCAACGCCATTTTCCTTCCAACATTCACATATCAGTGCCAGACATGGTCCCTATAACAAAAGCCCTAGAGAGGAAACTGGTCACATGCGAGATGAAATGCTTAAGAAGAGTGGTCAACAAAACAAGAAAGGACAAAATAAAAAATGAAGTCATAAGGGACACCGTAGGAGCAACACCAGTCCTACCACACATTGAAAATCAAAAGGTCAAGTGGTTCGGACACCTCACGCGGATGCCCTCAAAACATCCAGCTCTGAGAGCATACAACATTAGATATTCTGGATGGAGATCCAGAGGAAGACCAAGGCGACGATGGAGTGAATCTGTGGCAGACACCCTCAGAGCTCACGGGATGTCCCCCGTACAGGCCGCTCGACTTGCTGCAGACAGACACCCGTGTCTCCCCGCGACACCCCCCGGTACAAGCGGAAGAAAAAAGTAAAGTAAGTTAAGTAAGTATTTGGGTGTGCGCACAGGATTCATACAATGAGTGATTTACAGCATCCTAGCCTACAATTAATTGCTCATTTTGAGACAATAACGAATTAATACATTACATAGTCAACACAGTCTTAACCCCCTCCATACTTTATGAAGACCTAGGGTTTGCATCAGAAGAATCGGAGTGTAGACAACATAAAAGCAATCCATTTTGTGAGTATGAATTGTCCTTATTCTTAACAAACTCCATTACTCACTTTGTTTCCTTCAGTCCCTCCCCCACTCCACCCGGGAAAAACAAACCAAACCTCATATTATATATCTCTGTTCATTTATAGCCCACATTTACGTGCATTTATGTTCCCCACAATCAGTCACGCAGCACGTGCGCCGCGGTACTTTGTATGGGATAATATATATGTTATATTATGATAAACAAAAACAGCAAACAAAAGAAAATTTGCAATAAAAGCTCAGTTTCAAACTTTATGAGGACCTAGGCGTTGCGAGGGACGCGCAGAGTGACAGCGCTGTTTCTAATCCTCTAAAAAAATGGCGACAAAGCGAGCTAATTGGGCCCGCACAGCCAAAGTGGGCTTACATGAATGACGTCACAGCTGTGACCTCTAGTACTATTATATATAACCTCTTTGAAGTTTAGGTTTCTCTAGACTCAAGAAAATTATGTTGGCTGCCTGATGATTTGTAAAGCAAAATTTTGTTTAAAGCGCTCTGAGCCTTATCTTTGGTAAGAATTATGGTTTGTTGACTAAGAAAGACGAGTGATTTTCTTGATTAGAGGTAATTTATAGCTTCTACAAAAATTCAGTGAGAGCTAACATTAAACTAGGCAAGAGATCTAGATTCTAGATCTATCTATGAAAATCGCGAAAGTACGAAGCAACCAAGTTGAAGCAAGGACACGAGACGTTTCTATTTTTAAAGTATCGTGACCTAAATCTGACGTAAACATTGGACCACCATCTTGTTTGCACGTCACCCAAATCACTATTTTCCGATCCGGTGAAAGGAAGGAACCCGGCGTTCAATCAAAACGTTCAAACTGGAGGGGAAAATGAGATCCTTCCTCCTCACGGGGTTGAGCCTAGCGCTCACTGCTACCGTTATAGGAAATGCATATTATCAGAAAAAACAGTTTTATCCTTCGGTTGTTTATATTACGAAGTCGAATCCATCAATGGCCGTAAGTAGATCCTGCTACTGCTATCAGTATCATGCATAATGACATCTCAATATCTGTGGCCTGTGGTCAATTGTGTTGCCTATGCACGAATGCCCTCATTAGCCCGTGGCAACACTTAAAAAAATCAAAAAAAACTTCTTGTTCTCTTTCAACTTCCGCTTTTAGCATGATCTTTCTTCTCAATCTCTGTCCTCATGACAGTTCTCATCAATCATTGATGACTGATTCATTCGGCACTAAGATATTCGAAGACGTCTCTGGTAAGCACCCAGGACCTATATTCGGAGACGCACTTCCACACACAGATGCACAGCTTTGGAGGGTCAAACTGCGTAGGCTATTGTCATAGTTTGCTGCAGATCAGTCACTAAAATCTAAAACTAAAGGCTAAAGGTAGTGTCAATTGCCACCGAGTGACGCTGTGGCAATTGACAAAAATTGACTTTTTGTCAATTGCCACCGAGTAAATTGGAGCTCTTTTGCATTTGTAGGTAGATCTAGCTTATTGTGCTCGAGAGCTCAGTGTTGTGCGTTCACCTCTGTGTGTGTGGTGTGTTTGTCAAGTGTGTGTGTGTGTCTTTTCCTGACCCCCATCCCCCGATTTATGTTCCCCGATATGATGTGAATTTCTGCTTGAGTTTGTGTGCGTTTGTGACCTTCTAGGCCTACTTCTAGAATTGCCTGTGTTGGTTCTACACCAAAGTGCAGGCTAAGTAACCTACTGCTGAGTCACGAGCGCAAGAACGGAACACTTAGTATGGCTCCCCTTATTTTACAAAAGATAGTATAGTCCAACCCCCCTATTAAAACAAAATGCATGGGGTCCAACCAATAGACAGAAGGAATTTTATGGAGACATTATTGTAGTGAATCATGGGGTGGGGGAGGGGGTAAATTTCGGGGTCGCTAATCGAGGTCAGTAGAAGAGCAGCTCAACGAAGGGTTTGGGGGGGGGGGGGGATGGCGGGGACAACAAGAGTGGGACTCGCGCTTGTCAAATGGCGTTGATATGACACTGTTCCGTTTCAGTCAGTGTTCCGCCACGGTTCCACGAGCGCTCGCGTACTCGCGATTCTTTGAAGCCGACTAAATCGCAAATCGTCACTCTCAGATTTGGCGAGCACGATCCAGCTGTTGAGCAAAGGGTTCGAACTCAGATGGCTGTTGGATCAGAAAAGTAAAGTGAAAGAATATGATGAGTTGACTGATATAAAATAGAAAAAATTCCACAGCACTATTTTCAGCATGGTGACTGCAATGTATGACTGATGTTATGAAATGTAAAAATGGGAATGAACTATTTTGCAAATGTTGAAATAACGATTCTTTAATATCACAATTATTTCCCCTTCTTGATACGTCACATTTTGTCTCGTTTTGAAATCACACAAGATTTCAGTGTAAAATAAAGAACAATAAAATCAGTTCTCCGCAGGCAGGCAAAAGAGCAATGTGTGTTTTCGTCTTCTTTTCAAGTATTAATATAATGTGAGGCCTATATCCACCGTCACGCTGACCTAGGACCAAATATGGCTGTCAAGGGAATTGACTCGTTTTTTTTCAATGTGATAACGATAACTTCTGCCCAAAGAAAAAGCAGATGCAACATGACATAATGCCGAAAATGAGATTGAACAACAGAGGGAATAGAAGATATAAATTGAGTGACACTTGAGAAAACTGTTATTTCTGATTGTTTTGATTTCATTCTTTTTCTGCCTTGGTTTTAAATCTGATTGTCTTGTTTTGGCATTGTTCTTCTTTTTCTTTACACTGATAAAAAATGTACACTTTGCATTTTTTTTAAAGGGTATTTGATACTGTGTTAGGTTCTTTCTGCTTGCCTCTTGACAAAACTAATTACTGGTGTCTGTTGTATAGTGGTTAGGTGCTTTGTTCTTAAACACAGGAGATCCGAGTTCAATACTAGAGTGGGGGAAGTTTATAGAATATCTCAGTCTTTCTCTCCTGGGACGTTGTATCCCTCTCAGCCCTGGTTACCGCTCACAGGCAGGGTCGAAGCCCGTCTCCTAAATGATCTAAAGCTGTGTCAATGACAATGGGAGAATAAAAATTCTATGTTTAAAAAAGGCAAAAAACCCCCAAAACTAATTGAAATGTTGTGCGCTTTACTCATTGAAACTATTAATGAGTAGTAAAAGTTGAATTCAGATCTCCCTTTTGTTCCCCTCATGATATATTAAACTGACACACTGTGCGTGAACCAGTGACCTAATTTGTTGTAATGTCCAGTCTTTATAAATACAGTCGAACCAGTCCAAGACGGAATCGCAAGGGAGCCAAAAGAAAATTCCTGTCTTAGGACATGATTTGGGGGTGGGGGGTGGATGTTCCAGAGGGCCAGTCCGTTCCAGGTGAGATCATGTTTGGTCGGCAAAAAGTGGTTAAAACTTCACGCCTCCCTGTAAGACTACTGACATGGATGGGATAACAGCCTTCCTAAAACGGCTCAGCGGCGTGGCATAAAGTGCAGAGATGATGGAACCTAACTTAAGTACTAAAGAGCTCTGTTTCAAATAAGGGTTGAGCGGGCAAAGCGTTTTTCATCATAGATAGGTTAAAACCCTCTGAAAGGAAAAGGATTTTTCTGTCTGTTTCCAATTTGAGAAGGTTTCCATAGATGTAATTAAAGAGGAATTTATTGAAGGGGGAGCAGGGGAATTCCGTTATGAAATTTCTGTTGTATACAAGTGTCCGTTTTAATAGTAATAAGGGAGTTTGACTGTACATGATTTCTGAAAATGCATCGCCCACCTTGAAAGTTACATGTATGTGTCTTGTCTTTCAACTTTAAGATGTTTTGATTTTCTGAAATGAAGACGACCTTACTTGTGTGTTAAGCTTATATTATATTCTCTGTTTGTGAACAGGTCCTCTACATCCAGGCTCTTGTGTTTGTGGTCCTCACTGGCAAGATGCTGAGAGCTCTGTTCTTTGGCCAGCTCCGGGATGCTGAAATGGAGGTAAATCAAGAGGAATTTATCTTGCTTTCATCATAAAAAATGTAGCTAACTGCTTCTCATAAAAGCAATTGAAAGATATGAAATTGTTGGGATTTTAACTGAAGACTATCATATAAAGTGAATATAGTTGAAATTGTCTGGGATGGCCAACCATAGTTGAGGGAAAAAAATGCCTGTCTTAGACAGGTGGACATCTTGGACAGTGTCATAACATATTTTAAAAAATGCAAGGGGTAGAGTGGGTGGTTGGCAGGTGCTCTGGTGTGGTTTTCTCCTTCTTTTCTACCAAACATCTATCGTCCTGATCTCTCCTCCTTTTTTGTGTTTGTTACTCTCTTGTAACACTTTTAATCTTCGGCACTTATATGACCTTATTGTTTTGCAAGTGCTTTAAAAGTACTAAAACTAAAGCAAGGGGTGGGGGTGGTCATTTGTACAAGTTATTACCTTGGACAAATGGCCGTTACACAAGATTCGATAGATAGTGATAACAGTCTGATGTAACATTTAAAAAGGATTTCTAATGTTGACTTAATAATATTTAGTAAGATTTTCATCTTCTCTAGTTCTAATAGAAGAGATTTCTGTTTTGATTCTGTGGTCATAGATTTTGCTTCTGAGATTTATATTAATTATGTCTTATAATTGCATGCGTATTTTTAATCAAACTCTCCATGACTCTCTCTTTTTTTCTCCTTTTTACCAGCATTTGATAGAACGCTCCTGGTATGCGGTCACTGAGACTTGCCTTGCCTTCACTGTGTTCAGGGATGATTTCAGCCCTCGTTTTGTAGCCCTATTCACTCTACTTCTGTTCCTGAAATGTTTCCATTGGTTGGCCGAGGACAGAATAGACTATGTGAGTATTATCCAGTGACTGTTTTTTAAAAAAGTGTTGTTTTTTTAAAGTCCTTTCATGTATATTTGTATTAAATTGCTTTTTCTTTTAAGTAGTTAAAACATTCGAAATTAGTATTGCCCAAAAATTACATGGTTAACTGCATGCATCTAATGTTATGGATCTTCATATGAATCGTGTTTACTTTGTGTAAGTTGAGTTTCTCAAGGAGGTGCATATATGCCTGATATCAATACTTTTTTTCTATGCATTCGCAATATTTTTTTCCACTCCTATTATGTGGGGCAAGTTGGACATAGTTTTAATGTGGCCCCTAACTTTTTACTCAATAATCTGTCCAGTTGGGGCTTATATCAGTGTGACACATGATCATGTAATTATTGTAATTGCCGGTACTGAATTTCCTCTGACATTTAAGTTTCACAGCATATTTATTTCCCCCTTTACATTTAATGAACAGTCTGTGAGACATACTGCCATTGTTCTCAGGGGGTCTCATCATCACAAGAAAAATGGCAGTGGTTACCCGTAAGCTTTTAACTGTTGTGGTCTTGTATTGTATTTATATTAGGCTGTCTAATGATTTTGTGACATTGTTTGTTTGTTTTTTCTTTCTAGATGGAGAGGAGCCCAGCAATATCGTGGCTGTTCCACCTGAGAGCATTGTGTATGTACATATATGAAAAAAAATCTATTTTTATGGGCGCAGAAAATGGCATTTTCTTCAGAATTGTTAAGAATTATGTTCCGAGAGCAGTTTTGTTAGTTTTTGGAAAGATTATGAAGTTTTGAAATCACTCGTGAGCTTTTTATTTGGCATAATCTGTGCTCTGGCTCTAATTTAGAGAAATCGTGGAGTGAAAATATATACATAACTTTCTATTGGTACTATTGTTTTAAACCTAAAGCTTAAAAAAACGTATGTCAAATACTTAAAAAAAAATTCATGTGAACATCATCAGAGCATGTATATAGTAAAGAGATCAGTAGATTTTTGTTAGTCCAACTTGAATACCTATTATTACTTTGAAAATCAATTTTATGAAATATATTTTTCAGCTCTCATGTTTGTGTTGGGCTTCCTGGACATCATGTTTGTGAGGCATGCTTTTTACTCCACTTTGTTGAAGGGACCCTCGGTGCAACTAGTGTTTGGCTTTGAGGTATGCATGGTATTGATCTTGGGAGAAAATCTATTCATTGCTGATTGAGCAAATAATTATATGAGCTTGAAACTGCTTTTCATGACCTTTTTTTGTCTTGTTTGCCTTATGTTGTTATCCGCACTTAGTACAAAGATCTTTATTTTTTGGTCCTTTTTTTTTTTTTTTTTTTTTTTTTTTGTGTGTGTGTTTCCCAATTACTGAGTTGTTGTTGCTTACGACGCAATTCAATAAATGGTCCTGTAAGAGCCAGTTCCACGTATCTAGGTTTTTGCGAATTTTTCAGGAGGAACATAAAACGGATTAATGTAGGTATGTCTGAATGATCAACACCCCGGAAACGATCAAGCCCTAAAAGCGTATCATAAGCGATTCAGGAATTTTTGCCTTTACTGTCGGTTCAGTAGTAAATCTTGTTGCATCATCCAGGTTGTAACAATTTTGTAACCGTATTGAAATCCATTCCGCTTATCTCAAGATGAGCTAATTTGGAAGAAAACAGCTATGATTTATAAGTGAAACAGTTCTTTGCTTTTTATAGCTATTTTAAGGCGAGGAACTCCATGAAAATTATACAGAAATGAAGCCCATGTTAAGCGCTTTCGTTTGGTGAAGCAAAAAAAAATAAATTTGGCGCCAAAATCATGATAAGTGGATCTGGCTCTTATAGCACGAAATATGTCAACAGAATGTTCTTCATTTCTTAGTTTTGTGTTTTGACTGTTGATATCATGTTTTGTGGATTGAATTCCAAGTTTGTACTTATATTATGCTCTTTTTATGCTTTCTGGAAATCTCACTAGGTTTCTGTGGTATATTTTTGCATTCAACTCAGTTTTTCAGTTTTGAAAATTTCCACCTCTTGTAATGTGGTTTCGAAATGGCTGCTTCTGTGTTGCTCTGTACGATGGTTGTGCAAACATTTAATAACTGATCCATCATTAACACTAAGCAGTGACATGAAAGTACTTTTATTATTTTGTGGGTGATTGGCGGGAGCTCTGGTGTGGTTTGCTTCTTCTTTCCTATCAAACATCTTTCGTCGTTATCTCTCCTCCTTCTTTTTTGCGTTTGTTACTCTCTTGTAACCCCTCTAATCTTAGGCACTTATATGACCTTATTGTGTTGCAAGTGCAGTACAACTTTTACTAAAACCTAAGGTTATGATTTTGCATATGTAAGAAATCGTTGGAAATATAATCAAGATAGAGAACTTCATGTACATCCACAGGTATGCATGCTATAAGAATTGATAAAGTTAGATGTTGTTGTTATCGATCCAGGATAAAGGTAGATAATGTACATGTTTCAACACTGGAATTTACATTTCTCGTCGGCAGTATGAAATTCTCTTCACGGTGGTGCTGATGATTTTTATCAAGTACGTGCTGCACGCCATTGACCTGCAGAGCCAGAACCCCTGGGACAACAAGGCCGTCTATCTGCTCTACTCAGAGCTTATCATGGGTCAGTCAACTTTCCACTAGCCTTTTATCTAACCAGGACAATGACTTTCTGTTATGATAGTTGTGTGTTATGATGACTGCTTGAGATGAGTTGTGGCGTTTCTGATCATTACAAGTTTGCTTGATATTGTTTCCTTTACTCTTTCTCTCTTTACCATACTGGCTACCTTCTCTTCCTTCTTGAATATCAAGTTCATGACAGGGCAAACTATTATTATTATTATTATCATTGTTATTATTGTTGTTGTTGTTGTTATCATTATTATTATAATTACTAGCTGGGCCCCTTTTCGTTGAAAGGAACGATTGGTGCATTAACATCAACTGAAAGTCATAGTTACACTCTACTGGAATGGAGCAATAAATCTTGAGAGAAAAGTGACACACATGTTTCCAAGTTGCCAAATATATAATAGATGTATAGACTGATTCTCTATTCCGCTTTCATGGTTGTACACTCCAGAATTTCAAAGGTGTGGAATCAATGCATGCAGTTAGTGAACGGAAACCTCACTTGCTTACAATGGTGTCTTAGAAAACAGACTTTCCCAAGATTAGAACTCTGTGTGGATGAAACAAAGCATTTTGGAAAAATAGGGGAAAGCAGTTTGCATGGATTTGTTAAAGTTAGGTCCTAATCACATGGATGCTGTGGACGCCTGCAAAATTTCAAAGGTGTGGGTTAGGTAATAAGGGAGGAGTTTGTGCACAAATCCTCTCAAGTCCACTTTTATATATATAGATAGATCTAATAAGATTATTATCATCCGCACTTCTGTTCTTGCGAACTACTCACTCGCTCGAAGAAGCACAATATGAAACGGAAGTAGTACCTTTTAAAATATGAAATGGCTATGGGCAGAGTGAAAACATCTGAGAGCTTCGATTTACAGGAAAAACCATCAAACCTGAAAAATCAAAAGGTAGTTTCTGAACTTTGAAAATATGCCCACGTAACCCTTTGGGACAATTCTCGTCTGAATCATATTTTTGTAGATTTTATAGGCACCTGTGTAAAATGTTTATACTGACCCCCCAAACGGGCTTAGCTCCATTATAATATTATTATTATTATTATTATTTTTTAAATTTTAATTATTTTCATTATTATTATCATTATCAATATTGTTATTAATATGAGCATCAATGTACATCTCAGAATGCTTCAGTATTTTCATTTCTCTTTTACCAATGCAGTGTAGGTCTTTTAGTCATTTGTGTCCGTGCTGAAGGCATTTATCTATATATGGTACCAAAATTTTAAAAATGCTACTGTCATATATGTATTGATGATGTATAGTTCTTCGCTTGAATCACCAGCTGCTGTTACATGTGATGCAATGAATATATGAATATCATTTTCAAGAAGACGTAAATTTCAAGATTATATTTTTCACATTTTATCTACAGGTTTAATCAGAGTTGTGTTGTATATTGCCTTTGTGTTCATCATGATCAAAGTCCACACCTTCCCATTGTTTGCCATCAGGCCCATGTACCTTACTGTCAGGTTAGTTCACTGTCTAGTTTTATGCTAAAGAAATCTGCCACCCTTTTCCTGATGATAAATATTGATTGTTTAATCAAAAGGGATTATACTTTTTTCATATTGTTAAGTTTAATATAGAATAATGGAAAAGTATAATCTGATGCGCATGGTGAGGTAGAAAGATGAGGGTAGGACTTGTCATCTTTTTTTTCTAGCTCAAGTTTCTGATTCCTGTTTGCCATTTGCTTTTATCTCTTAGAAAAGTATGATTTTTTCTCTCATGTATGTTTTTGTGGTGTTTTGATTTTTTTAGAAATAATTATTAACAGTAATTTTTTAATGTAAAAAGTTGTATTAGTGTTATGTAATTTGAAGTTGTGTGTAATGTTCCTTTTTGGGAAAGAATATGAAATGGTTTCCGATGTATTAATTTTTAAGATGGTTTCCTTTTTTTGCGCATTTTCCACAGAGCATTCCAGAAGGCAGCCCAGGATGTTATCCTGTCTCGCAGAGCTATCAGAAACATGAATACCCTGTAAGTTGAATCATTTTTGCCTTTAGGGAAGTCTTGAGTTTAATTAATGTTAAGGCATTACCAGTGCCATGTGTTTGAAACGCCATTATTGTCTTTACTCCCTCAACCATAGGCCTACACTTCCAGGTTGTCAGCTCTCCCTAGAGATTTTTACTACTTAAAAAATACTTCCCCCCCCCTACATTTTAACATGTCCTATCCAAATGTGGTACACATTTTATTCAAACCTTTATGCGTGTGTATTGGAAATTTGAAGGCAAAATATGTCATAGTGTTTATGCAATGCTACGAGGAAGAACGTCTATATTCAGAGTCAAAAAGTAAACAAGAAGCAAAGAAAGGAAGTGCCCTCAAATTTCGCATCCCCTGACGTAGTTCACGAATGTAGCTTTCTTTGTTCTAAATTTAGGCCCGCACTTCTGGTCACAGTCTGTTTCAAACGAAAAATGGTTACTTTTCTGGCTAGCCTATAGTCTGCTTCACACAAAAGTAGTGTTTACGGTCTAGAGAGCCATATTTTCCATACCAATGTTGTTGGCGTTAGAGTAGGAGCGTTGCGTGCGCATACCGATAATATCAAAGTTAGGACTTGGTGAGTTAATGAGGCCCTGACATTGTAGTGCTTTTGAAAAGGTAACATTGTTGGCTAGATGTTTAACTGTTGTATGCCCAGAAAGCAACATTTTTTTAGGAGAGAGGAAAAAAACTGTTTCTTTCTTTTAAAATCTGTGTCCAAAGTATGATTCTTTTCTTGCTTTTTTGTTGTTGAACATTTAGAATTTGAATTTCAACAAAATATTTCAAGAGCATGTGCAACTTGGTACCTCAGGTTGAGAAATTGCAATCAAAAATATTTCTCAAATTTTGGGCTGAGTACATCTGATCAGTTGACGGATGATACAGACGATTTAATCGTCAGTTGATTTTCTTTTCTTTTATGAGTAGTGCTCATGTTTACGTCACTAGTAGTTATGAATGGACGTCTCCTCTGTTATCCCAGTGGAAATGAAAAGTCCATCCACCTCTTTGTTAATGATTTGTAGCATATTTTTTTTGGTGGGTTTTTTTCTTTTTTTAAATCTTCATATCAAAAGGGGAATATTTTCTCTTTCTTACTTTGCTTCTACCCTTTTTTGAAATTTAGAAATTAAAACAAACAAGTGTTGGTTGTGTAAGTAGGTGGTTGGTGGGTGCTCTGGTGTGGTTTGCTCTTTCTTTCCTATCAAACATCTATCGTCCTTATCTCTCCTCTTTCTTTTTTGTGTATGTTACTCTGTTCACATCTATTCTTCAGCACTTATATGACCTTATTGTGTTGCAAGTGCTGTAAAACTCTAATTAAAACTAAACTGGTTGTGTAAATTTGTGACTGGTTCCTTACTGAGACCTGGTCCTGAAGTGCCAAAAGTTGTCTTTTCCATCTCCATCTTTGTGTGTGCCCATGTGTGAAACACATGTAGATAGCAAAACATATAGAGCTGGCTGTTGAGCGGGGATATAAGCTTTACAAATGTTTTTCATTATAATTATTATTTTTGAGACACCTCCCACTAAGAGACGACCTTCCCCCCCCCCCCCCACCCCCCCTGGGCAGTGCTACTGAATGAAGTGTCTTTAAGCCGTTCCCAAAGGGGAGACATTAACATGTAGAATTGTTAATGGGCTGATTTATTAATGTCATGCTACTCTGCTGGAACAACATAGGGGGAGCTGCTGCTTTTTCTTTCCTCATCTTTACTATCGTCATTTTTCTTCTACTTCTTTTGTGTGTTTGTCACCCTCTTGATAGTCGAAACAGACCTTGTGCTGTTGAGGCTAGAGAGGTGAGCAGAGTAAGCCTGACTCTTTGTTTTGACTTCTCTGTTGACATCCAACCCTTGGCGCTCATATGACCTTATGCAGTTGACTCTGTTGACACCCACCCCTTGGTGCTCATATGACCTTATGCAGTTGCGAGCGCCGTAAAAGCCTCTACTGTAAAAAAAAAAAATATATATTATGCAGTTGCAGGCGCCGTAAAACCTTACTAAAACTTAACTAAAAAGACGACCTTGCCATTTGTTACCTGCCAGGTACCCGGACGCCACGCCGGAGGAGCTGAGCTCTGGCGACAACGTGTGCATCATCTGCCGCGAGGAGATGACAACAAACTGCAAGAAGCTGCCCTGCAACCACATCTTCCACACCAGCTGCCTGCGCTCGTGGTTCCAGCGACAGCAGACGTGCCCCACGTGCAGGCTGGAGGTGCTGCGCATGCCAAGGCCAGCCGCTGCGCAGCAGGCTCAGCAACAACAGCAGCAACAGCAGGCGCAGCCAGCGCAGCCACCCGCGGACAACCAAAACCCTTTCAACAACAGTAAGTTTCAAAGGAGAACTAACAACAGTGAAGTAAACTTCAATCAAACACAGTTAAGGGGAGACGTACACTCCTGGAAAAATTTTCTAAACGAATGACGTTTATTCAATTTCATGTAATTGTGCAAGAAGTTCATAGGTAAATAGGATGTACTAGGGGTGAATTGGTTCAATTTTTCTGAAAAATGGGTCTCTGTGGCGGCCATCTTGGATTTTCAAACCAGTTTCTTAGTGCAGACGATTTTCATAGTAAATATTGAATTATCAGCCTGAAATTTGGCACACAAGTACAAACCTACATGAACTTGGGATCTATATAAGGATTTTGACCTATCTTTAAAACTAAAAAAGTGAGCCCAAAGTCATTGGATCCCCTAGAGTCAGTTGACGAAATTTTGGGGTACATATTACAAAAAAATTGAATATTTCCTCAAGTTACCAATATTTCCCCATTCCCTTTCATAGATCCCCAGAATCGATCTTAAAGCACATGTACACCAAATCTGAAGCTTCTAGCTTCTATATTTTTGAAAACTCCTTGCACCCAGGAGGTCACATATGTCAAAAAGTAGATTTTGAGAAAAACAGAAAGAACAGGGATTTTTAAAAGGATTTCTAGAGCAATTTGCATTTTTCAAACTCCCTTTTAGGTCATTTAGGGTGTTTTTTCAACAGTTTCTTCATTTTGACTCGATAGAACAGATGTCAAAGGATGTTTTTCCGCAAAAAACAAAAGTTGGGTAGTTTGAAATATTGTATGGATATTGCCTTGGATCGCCGACCCGGGTCTTCCCTTAATATGAAAACAGTGGTAAAAGGGGTAAAAAAACAACAGAATCTCACATTTTTTTCTTCCTTTGTTATTGGAGAAGTCTCTCTAAACCAAAAACACAGTTGAATGAACAAAGCCCAGTGTTTCAACAGATTTTGATTTATGCGGACTTTACGGTAGTTATTTTTCTAATGAAACCTAGCTAGTTTCAAATGAGAGATAACAAGTTTCAAATTCGAAATTTTTGCTTTGAATAATGCTTCACTCGATGAGTAGCCTATTTTGAGTGGTGGAACAGTGTGTGTCCACTCATACTTCATATTATATGTAAAATTACTGTCGAAATTGTCCAAAAACATTGTCAAGGAAATAAGTGGTTGTATGTTATTATAGTTCCATTGTCAAGGAACTAAGTGGTTGTAGTTGTATGTTGTGATCGATCCAGAGAGGTTGCACAAGACAGATGGACGTCTTGGACAGTGTTACTACAATTGTACAATTGTTTGTTTTTTTAAAGCGGAAAGGAAGTTGTCATTCGTTTAGGTGAATGTGTTAGATTACTGGACTTGTGATTGTGAGGTTGCGGGCTCAGGGGTTGTTTGTTTTAGTAACATTTTATGACGCTCGCAATTGCATAAGGTCATATGAGCGCCAAGGGGTGGATGTCAGCAGAGAAGTCTAAACGGGGAATCAGGCTTACTCTGCTCATCTTTCCAGGTCTGCTTCGACTATCAAGGCACCCTGGAAATAACAGTTTACAAGAGAGTGACAAATATACCAAAGAAGTAGAGGAAAAAAATTACGATAGTAAGGATGAGGAAAGAAAAAGCAGTAGTTCCCCCTATGTTGTTCCGGCACAGTATGAGCATGACATTGATAAATCAGCCCATTTACAATTGTACTGTGCATAAGAACGTGTTAATGTCTCCCCCCCCCCCCCCCCCCCCTCTTTGGGAATGGCCTAAAGACACTTCAGTCAATAGCACTGCCCTTGGGGGGGGGGGGGGGGGGGGTTGGAGGCTCAGCTTTCTCCAATGTTGTGTTTTTGGGATAGGCACTTTACACAGATTTCCCACACTTCACCCAGGAGGAATTATATATTGTCTATAGACCCCAAAAGATTTTGTCAGCTTGTTACTGTGTTAGTGCATTGTAATCTACAGCTTGCACTGTATACTTCCAGGGAAGCCGAAAATGTTTCTGAATGTTTTAGGTAAAAAACTGCTGGGGTAAAATTAGTTCTTCAGCACATAGTGAGCATGCTTTAGAACATGGGTATGCATTATATAAATGCATTATTGTTATAATTATTATTATGATGTTGTTATTATTGTTGTTCTTTATAATTATCATCCTGTTTATGGCACTAATATGACATATTTGTGTTGCGAGTGCCACAAAACTCTTACTAAAACAATTTTTTTAAAAACCCTGAAAACATTCTTTTTTTCTGTTACAGTGCCAGGCATGTTTGGTGGCTTCCCCTTCCAGTGGCCGCCCAATGCTGGAGGCCAGGCTGTCCCTCCTCCCTTCGGATGGCCCCAACAGCAACAACAGCAGCAACAACAGCAACAGCCCGGGGCCGCCGGTGGGGCAGCTCCCACTTCACAGGCGCAGACACAAGCCCAAGCAGGTCAGACTGAGACAACTTGTCTCTGTAGTTTTGGCAGGCAGATAGCTCAGCGGCGGGTGTTGTACAACACTGTTGTGACCTGGGGGGGGGGGGAGTGGGGTGAAAATTTAATGAACATTTCCATGCAAATATGCATTTACCTGGATAGTCATGCGTGGGTTTTAATAACAGCAAAATCATTCAAGTTTGGATCGTCGGCAGAGATTCCATTCTGCACTGAGAAGAGCAGGTCTAATTTGTCAGTTGTAATGTAATAGTATTTAAAATATTCTGTGATATATGATACTTTTTTTCCTTTCTTTTGCTATTTCGCACAAAATGGTGATGCTTTGTGGGCCAGTCTGAAGTCATCCATTTTTCACCTTTGCTTCTCTTGAGCTAAGTTTTGAACTAGACTTATTCTTGCGTGCTCGTACGACCTTATGCAGTTGCGAGCGCTGTAAAACACTTTACAAAAACAAAAGACTTATTCTTCTTCTCGATCACATCACACTTTTGAAGTCGAATATCTATCATAAATTAGACCCACCTGCTCAGTTCTTGTGTTGGTCCATATAGCTTTTCCTGCAGTGTTAGTGGGGTTGGCCAGGTCCCCTGTAGGTCTAGTCTCCTGACCTAGGACTCTGTGTGTCCTGCACTGCTGGGGGATATGTGCCACAGTTTGGTCCACTTCTCCACACTGGCATTTTGGTGATTGTCTTGGTAAGAGTTTCGCAACGCTTGCAACACAATAAGGTCATATAAGTGCCGAAGATAAGAGGTGTTACAAGAGAGTAACACGCACAAAAAAGAAGGAGGGAAGATAAGGACGATAGATATTTAACCGGAAAGAAGGAGCAAGCCACACCAGAGCACCCGCCAACCACTGATTGTGCTAGTTGAAAAAATGTGCACAAGTGTTGTTTGAGTCTTGTAACCTGACTAATTTTCCGTCACTTTCAGGCACAGCTTCGTCATCTTCTACTTCAACATCCTCCACCTCCACCACGACGTCGTCATCGTCTACCGCCACTCCCGGCGTGCCACCTTTCGCCAGCATGGCTCCTCCTTTCCCGGGATCCATGCCCTTCATGCCACCCATGATGCCACCCATGTTTTCACCCTTCAGTAAGGACACTGTATTTTACGACAAAAATATATTGCATTTATTTAGCGCCCAATCCGTATTAAAGTACTTAGACTCTGAGCGCTCCTGGTGGTTTTTTGGTCTATTTGTGTTTGTGTGTTTTATTATTTAAAAAAATTATAACACATTTATTAAAATGGCTGCTTGCGTCATTTGTCCATTTTTGTATTTCCACTGTTTGTCGATTTTGTCTGTGAAGGAATTTTGCCATTCCAGTTGAACCTGCCCTAACGACCACCTGTCCAAGACGGTCACCTGTACAAACAACCACTTCCATCATCCTCCCTTGCGGGTTTTTTTTGGTGGTTTTTTTGGTATATTATAATGACACTGTCTGAGATGATCCCTTATCTCCTCGGCAATGGATAGTTGTCTTGGACAAGTTCAACTTCACATCGTGACCTCAGTGCTTTCTTGTCGTATCTCTAGTTTTTTTGACAGTGAAAACAGTTCATAACAAAAAGTAAGCTTAAGAAGAAGTCACATTTTCAAAGTTGAAAAAAATGGAGATACGACGGGAAAGCACTGAGGTCGCGATATGTTAAAAAAATCACAGAAAACTCAAACCCTTTTTCTGATTTAGGTTTCCCACCACCCCCTGTGCCTATGTCGGGCCTGAGCGAGGAAGAGCTGCGGGCGATGGAGGGCGTGGAGCGGGGCAACGTGGAGGCGCGGGTGCAGTGGCTGCGGGACATACAAGCCCTGCTCGACGGGGCCATGCTGCTCATAGGGCAGTACAATACGGTGGCCAGCCAAATGGGGTGAGTCAGATGTGTGGGGAAAATCTACTGTTTGCAGCTACATCTCCATCTTCTCCATCAATCCATCCTCATCTTCTCCTTTTTATTATGGTGGTCATGTCCTCTTGCCTACATTTTCGTAACAGATCTGCTTTGGAAATCTTATCATTCACACGTAAATCTAAATCTTTTATTTGAGGACCTAATCCTTCAAACTCTTTATCACTGTCGTCCGATTCCAGAAAAATGTTTGGAAAATCTGTGTCTAAATCAGCTGACGAATCCGACATTTTGATAACTAAACAATATCCCAGAAAATTGCAGATAAAAACCTCCAAACAGATCCCTGACTGCGAAATGCACGGCCAGCGGCACTAATATACGTTGCACTGGTAGACTAGTCACCAGCAGTTTAAAAAATGGCTATTCTTATGTCAACGGTATAGTTTCTACACTCGTGTTGGATCACGACCGGTGGTCGCGATGCGCACGGAAGGGAGGTATGAGTCATCACGACCGCGCACGCAGAGGGTTAAGAGAGAACACCTTTGTTCCCCCTCAGTTTTTTTCATTTCCAAATTTTTTCATGCCTACTAGAGCTGTGCCCGTTCGACTTTACTATTCGACATTCATGATTTTTGCACTATTCACAGCTGTCCGAAGCGTGGCAGAGCCATTCGAATGCGGTGCGATTTTTTTTTAACAGATACTAGATTTTCGTCTCATTTTTCTCAAACAGAAAATTTGGAGTACATTATATCTAAAATCATTAAGATAAATATACAGAAATACTCTTTATTTGATGGTTACGAGACAGAGAGATAAAAGGAGCCTACAAGAGTTATAAAACAATCCTTTAGAGAATATCTTTTACTATTCAATATTCACTCGTTACACTGTGCAGCTCAAGCAAGGGCACTTGACTCTTGAACCGCCGCGAATGTTTTTTCCTTGAAGTTAGCTGTCGCAATGAATGAGCTCCCCTAACCCTACTCGAAAAAGCGCTATAAACGGTGATGTGATGTCAACACGTTGCACTGTCTGCGCGCATGCGACAACAACACATGTGCGCTCAGTGACTGGCGTTCAACGACGCGTCGAATTGCAGAAGTTAGATCTGGGCTTCTTGAATTGCAGAAGTTAGTTCTGGGCTTATCACATATAAGAAAAAACCATTTGACAGTGATTCAGATTGTGAAAGTTAGTTCTGGGTGTATCATATATAAGAAAAAACTATTTGACGGCGCTTCGAATACCGGAAGTTAGATCTGGGCTTATCACATGAAATATGATTCGACGGCGCTTCGAATTGCGGAAGTTAGGTCTGGGCTTATCACATATAAGAAAAAAAAATTCAACGGCGCTGTGAATAGCTAGCATTGGTAGAATAGCAGAACTTAGGTCTGGTTTTATGCTTATCATATTATTATATTAGAAGAAAAAAATTCGACGGAGGTGTGTGAAAATAATGAATAGTGAGCTCACGCTTCGAAGCTTCGATGATTTGCGTACTCTATTTCATTTATGTTGTCTGCAGTTTTTGTAATAGATTTGATGCTATTATTTTGAAACAGTTGTCAAAAAAGAGTACTGTACAATCTTTGTTTGTGTTTGAAACGGTTGTCAAAAAGGAGTACTGTACAATCTTTGTTTTGTCAGTGCTTCCACTCTTCCGTATTTTTACGGAAATCCGTACTTTCTGCCAGTTCCGTACTTGTTCCTCCTTCATCGTCAACTCCCTCCGTAAAAAAACTGCGACAGCGCAGGACTGCCGAAATTCCGTACTCGCCTTCCTATCGTCTTGTAGTTACGGATATTTACGGTAATACTCTCGGCAACAAGTTAAAGTTATTGAAACCTGCCAGATTGCGCTTTTCCTGCAATCAGCCATTATACCACTATGTCCCTTGAATTCATTGCGGGTTGGTCGGCAGTACATTTTTTACCTGCAGATGGATCAAAATCTGGCGAACCTTTTGTGCCAATTTCCTCCTTTCTATCATTCACTCATTCCTTCTGTCTGTCTTCGGATTGTTGCCGCGGCTGGAAAATCTGCGCGTCGATCAAGTAAATTGACTTGTGATCTTAGACAAAAAAATTACTGTCAGAAAGAAACTTTTTTTGCAAATTTGTCTAGATCTAGATCTAGAGAAATTATCGATGCGAAGATTCTACGGCACGTGAAGGCAATACGGGCCGCAATGAAAGAAATAATGCTGATACGCGGGTGCCCACTCCGAGACTACGGATGGGATCGGCCGATCGCGCTGTTGGCCCGACTCGGTCGCCTCAAAAACAAACGTGTTTGTTTTCAGTTTCAGGCGATCGAGTCGGGCGATCGGCCCGATCCAGCCGTAGGTAAAATAAAAAATAAATCGAAGTGGGCGTTCTGAGGTTGTGACAGGCGACATTCAGATGTGAAAATTGAGAAAAAATTTGGGTATCCGCTGCGCAACTGTATTGTGATGGTACATCTATTTATTATTCCCAGGTTTGCCTGCTATCAATGGTGCGACGTCAAATTAATTAATTGAATTATAGTAGCAATGAAAGGGGAACCTGCTTTTAAACATTGCCAGCAATGGAAAGATATGTTGGTGAAGAAATCAAACAAGACAAAATGTTGGTAAAAAAATAAATGTTATGTGCTCTAGTCTAGGCAATCTCTTCAAACAGGCTCCCAAATGCCATTTTCAACCCTCTAAAAGCACTAAATTTCAATTTCTTCGGGGGCTTCGCCCCCTGAACCCCCACCCAGGACGCTGTCCCAGGCCCCCGGCAGAATTTTCCTTACTTTTCAGCTTCAGCTGGTGGAAGCACTGTTTTGTGATTGGCAGGTGTCCTAGTGTGGCTTGCTTCTTCTTTCCCATCAAACATCTATCATCCCTATCTCTCCTCCATCTTTTCTTTGTATGTTACTCTTTAGTAACACCTCTAATCTGCTCGACCTGTATGACCCTCATTTTGTTTCAAGTTCCGTAAAATTTGTACTTAAACCAAAACTGCAATATTTTTCCTGTACAAAGACTTTTTCTCCTTTCTCTCTCCAGCACTATGGGCATCAGCACGGCTCCAACAGCACCGCCCCCGCAAGCAAGCAGTTCTCAGGCATCATCTTCCTCATCGCCTTCTTCATCATTGCCATCATCATCGTCATTGTCATCATCATCAGCAACATTGTCGCAAACAGCTCAGCTTCAAGACAACGCTCAGGGTAGAGCTTGGCCACAGGGCGAGGGTGCGCGGCCAAAGTACACATCCACCATCAGTAACACGCACACGACAGACTCGCCCGAGCGCGCACGCTCCAGCAGTATTTCGCAGGATGCAGGTGACTAAAGCACTCTCTTATCTAGGGCAGTATTGATGGTCATTTTTTCACACACACACACACACACACACACACACACACACACACACACACACACAC